CGATCAATCAAACAAAACTTTCAAAGAGAAAAAACATATCAGAGAGTCGAAAATAACTCGGCAAAAAGACAAAACTGAGAGTTGAAACACGACTCAGCAGAGAGTCGAAACACAACTGGACAGAAATTGCACCGATTGGGTGAGTAACAGACTCATGGCGACAATGCTTCAAGGACGAAGAATGGACACAATTAAGATGAATCTGCCTCTGATACCACCTGAAGAGTATCAGGTTTCTCTGAAGAGACTCAATGTCCATTAATCATATGAATGTACAAATTTATCTTTTAGATGAAAAAATATAGAAATAAATCACAATTTTATATTCTATACCCAGACTTACCATAAATACAAGCAAATTACAATATATACTTTTTATATTAACTAGATATAGAATATATATTTTCTTTACACATAGGAGCTACAAGGATTGGCACGCATAAATATTGTTTAAAATTAAAAGATACACTATCTTTATGAATTTTTTAAAAGAGTGAATGAGAGAGATATTAAAAGAGATTTTATAATATCATATAAGATACACTATCTACAAATTTTAGAAAGTATGGTGTGTATGCTGATCAGGATGTACAAGGATTGGCACGCACAATTAACAACCAAATAGATACGCATGATATCAAGAGTTATGTTCTCATTTAGAATATACGAAATGCTCAATGAAGCAAACAATTATTGGTTTGTCTATTAGTGAGGCTAAAGATGTGGTTGCATTGTTATATTATTTTTTATAACCGTTTGAACAATATTTCTCTTACCATCTTTATTATTTTTTGCTTCTTAACAAAGTACAATTTCAAATTATATCATTTTAGAGGAATAATCCATGAAGAGGTATCAATGCGAAATTAACAATTTTTTTGGCTCCCAATAGTCTCGATCTCCTTCCGTCCCAAAATTAATTTGATATTGTTTTCCACATCTACTTAATTATAGAAATATAATTGTCTTCTTTTTCATAACTTCTCTCTCACATGTGTCTGTGTAGCATTGTAACGACTTTATGGCAATTTTTCAATGTATTTTGTTCACATACTTCTCGTTTTTCCAATGCCAAGCTTGCTCGAGGTCTATTTTACCGATTTTATGATAGGAAGAGGAAAAAAGAGATTTGATTGTTGGAGAGATGATTTCATAATCTTTTGAACTTTTTCAGCTTCCATCCATGAGAGATCTGTCTGGTTTGTATGTGTAAGTATTTGTGATGTAAAAAAGAAATGATTGTCAAAAAAAATTATTGGGATTGGGTTTAAAATAGAGATATGTGTTGGGTTGAGAGCATTAATGTGTTATTTTGCAGAGGAACCATATATGTAAACCCATAAAGAGTGAGAGAGATAGGTTGGCTTGAGAGCATTAATGTGTTCTTTTGCAAGAGGAACCATAGATGTAAACCGATATAGAGTGAAAAAGATGAATTGGCTTGAAAGCACTAAAAATATGCATGATATAAAACCAATATAGATAGGGTTGGGTTTTAGAGAGAGAGAGAAAGAGGGACCCATGTAAAGTTTATAGAATCATAATTGGTCTAATATTGGTTTGAGTTTTGGACCCTCATGCTTAAAGTAATCATTGTAAGTTTTGGACCCTCATGCCTAAAGTGTTCATATTGTATCAGGAGATTCTCTTTTTGAGTTTTGGACTACACGTATTATCCAACAAAATAATATTATGAGATTTGCATCATGTATTTTTATAATTCATGCTACACACCTGCTCCATAATTTTATTTAAGAGTTTCGATGTACTTATTAAAATTTTACATTTAAATTAATAAATTTTAATTTAAAATATTTTAAAAAAATTTAAAATTTGCATTTCATCATTTCAATATTTTAAATATAATTTTATGAATTAATATGCATCCATTATTATTCATAACAAATTTTTACTATTATTATAAACTTAAGAATGATAAAAAAAAAAAAAATTACTTTTTGTTTTTACCACAAAGTAGAAAATCAATTTTGCATCTCTTAGAAATTTTTAAATTATATTTCATAGTGTGAAGTTTAAAATTTGTCAAGATTCAAGATTAGTTTTTATATTTTCACTAAGGACTTCTAAATTATCATTTTTTTTATATATGTTTTTTCATGTTTTATTCATACATGCAATGCACATAATCCGACTAAAGTTAAGAGGTGAACACTTGCTGTGAAAATAAGAAAAACCCAAATTTTTTGGAAACATTCCCACATCTGGAGACAGACTTTTGACTTTTTTTGAAGAGAGAGAAAAACATCTTTTCTCCTAAAATTAGTACTAGGAAGAGAGACTTTTTGAAGGTACATATGTCTCACTTATCCGCAACTCAAATTTAAGTGAGAAAGATACGCATATATATCTAAGATGGTTGAGTGAAGAATAGAGATTTTAGGAAGAGGGAGAGAAAGAAGAGATTTTAGGCAGAGAGCTTGTTTATATATATATATATATGCTTCTCTTATAGCATAAAACTTATATACTTCCCCTTATCCAACCGTCTATTCTGAATGGATGGTTAAGATTGTCTCAATCCCAATGTCACGTCTCTACACTATTTTATTTTTAATTTTTTTTATAAATTATTTTGACACCAAATTTTAGACGTCCAATCCTCTATTAAACTCACATCAGCTAAAAATATTAAAAAAATATTTCCAATAAAATAAAATGACCAAAAAGGTTTTGATGTTGTTACAAACCCTCTCACTGCACGCCCCACTCTCTCTATACCTCTCTCACATTAGCTAGGGTTTTGATGTTATAGAAGTTACCCGAAAAGGGGCACTATCTCTCATTAATTAGGGTTTTAATGTTATAGAAGTTAGAAAACCCTAAAAGATATACTCTATCTCATTAGTTAGGGTTTGGATGTTATAAAAGTTAAAAAACCCTAAAAGGGAGGGCACGCCCAAGCCATTTGCTCATGTAAACTATACTAGCATCTACCTATCTTTTTGTTATGTTTTTCCCTCTCTTTGCCACATAAGTCTTCCTTACTCTCAATTAGGTACATATCTTTTGTTTTTTCATTGGTATCAATATGCGTGACAATTTAGTTCTTATTGTTTTCTCTGTGCTTTTCTATTAGAATCAATATTTGTAGCAATTTAGTTACTGGTGTCTTCTCCATACGCAGGATTCATTAGTTTTTGTGTGACTTTCTATTATACTTTTCATGGCATGGGATGTTCAGGTATGGATCGTGTGATTTTCTATTATACTTTTCATTTGTGGCAATTTTGTTTACAAAAATGTAAAAAAAAGTATTCATTGCTAAAATATTTTTTAATTTTAGGCCAAAATGAAAAAATAAAATAAAATAATTAAAAGCCATATTACAAATAGATATTTTATATTTTTGGGATTTTTTATATTGTTAAATATTCCCAAGTTGGGCCAAAATATATTTCAATCTTTATCAAAATGATAGAAAACATAATAGATTTTTTTTTTGGATTTTTTATATTTTCTAAAATTTTGTTAATATCCTCCAGTAGTTTCTCGATCACTGGAACGAAAAATGGTAATTTCTTTGATCTCTAAAGGTATGAAGCAATATTAATTATAAAATAATGAAATAATTTTTTGTTTTTTTTTTACTGTTTGCCATAATAATTAAAAAACTATTGATAAAACCACTTACCAATTATTTAATTTATAATGGTCCATGCATGCACCTATAAAACTATCGGAATTGGCCCCATCCATGTACGCAATTTTTTTTTTGTTGTTGTTATCATGCATTTTATGCTTCCATGGAATCAAATAACATATGTTCATTGTTATGACGTGTAATATTTATCGACATCAATGAAATTGGCCCTCATAAATGCATGCTATTTTTTATTTTTTTATGTTTTTTTTATTGTTTTGATCTACCGTCAAAAAAAAGTAAAAAGATTGTTTTAATGTAGAAAATCACTATTCTGAGAATTATATTTATATTCATGTAAATACCTGGCAACAAAATATGTTAGGCCTTGATACACATCATATTTGTCATGTACATTGAACATATGTTCAACATTTGTAATGATATTATGCAATAGGAAATAGATCATAACTCTAAAAGTGTGTTCCATGCATATTCAAAATTAGATCAAACCACTCAATTTGTAAGAATTATTTGAACAAATATCAACATAAATATGACATAGAAATGCACGTTAATACTACATATTTATATGATTAATGGTCATTCTATTCTACGTGCAACATAATCCAACTGGTTTTACACTATTTTTATTCAATTCTTAGTTTAGGCAATATTTTTCTGGTAAGAAATCTTTTTCAATCATTTAGGGGCCCTTCTCCATTGATCTACCCAAAAAAAAAAAAATTCAACTGCTTAAATAAAAAAAAAAAATTGCGTACATGCATGGGGCTAATTCATGTTTATATCTTTATTTGAAAAAATGCAACGCTTTGAAACACGCGTGCGAAGCATGTGCATTCAACTAGTATCAAAAAATAAGCACTTCACTCAAAAACAAGTGAAAAGAATAAAGTTGAAAGCAGAAAAAAGAGGGAAGAGATAAAGTTTGAAGCGGATGAAAGTAACAAACTAACAAAAATAACGGGAGAACGCGAGAGAGAGGCACAGGGAAATATTAGTGAATAGATTATTTTGTTATTTTGAAAAGGGTCTTTCCTATAAAATAATAGCCAAATTTCTTAATACTTTCAGCCTGTTTTCAAGGATATACCCTCAAAATGTCAAAAAAGAAAAAAATTGAGACCCAATTTAAATGGCCCTGAAGCCATTTCACAATGATCATTTTATGTCGAGATCCTACTTACCCTTACCCGTTACCTTTATACATGATGAAAAATTTGACTCAGTGGTGATTCCCACTAAAAAACTTATCTCCACTTGGGTAATTGAGATAAAACAACATGCCGGTTTTTCCATCTTTAAAGAACAATGTCACTCAACATAAACATAAATCGTTATGTCATGGGACCCAATCTCATTTCATTATTTAAAGGGAAAAACCAAAAGGAGTGCCTTTGGAGAAATAAAGAATAGTGTACCTCTTTTGTCAGATGTGTGCTTTGGAATCAAGCATCTCATGCGGCTCTGCAACATGACCATGTACAAAGCTCTCTCTCTCTCTCAATCCCACATGCGCTTTAAACCTTTGGAAAGAGACCCATACAACACTACACAATAAGCCAAAGGTAGTTTTCAAACATCCCCCACGTGATGCCAATTCACCCACCACTAAAAAAAACACATTGCCACAACCCAAGAAATATTCTTGGCATCTCAGGATCCAACCATTGGCTCGGAAACCATTAATGTGCCTCTCGGGTCTCACACTCTTACTAAACACCAAAACTTGCTACTGCTTTCCTGCCTCTGCAACTCTGCTTTCTATCCTCTCAACTCTTTGGCTTCTTCCAGGCCTACTTAGGATAGCGGAAATTTAGTGATGAAATGAAGTAAAGGAGCAGCAACATCACACCTTCCTACGTTCAATCTCATGCATTACACAGACATGTTGAACGATCATAAATTAAGTAAGTTCTCTTCCCCATCCCCCATGCCCCCTTTGCTCTCCTCTTTCCTTCAACCTCTTCTCCTCTTGTATATAACATACTAAGTTTTTTCTGAGGCTATTTATACAGGTAATGAGAGAACAATTTTGCTTTAACAGAAAAGTAGCTTCTTTTCATTATTTCTTTTGCATAGGTTGTTTCCAACTTTCAATAGAATATGTTCGGTAGAATAAAAAGGAAACTATATGACGTTTATAAGTAGATTTTGCAATCATAGTAACTTGCTCATTTGTCATATGAGAATAATCAGTGAGCATGAAGAGATATAGCGTGCTTGAATGGGTTCTGATTTTGTTTGGCATGGATATTATGCATGTGCCGCACCAATAGGAAAGACCTTTAGCGCCATTTTACAAAGAAATGAAAAAGATCAAAGAAAAAAAGTTATGTTTCCCATGTGCTTCCACCTGCATGCACACAGTTTACGTTTCTACATAATTATTTGAAAAAAAAATACAATTAAATAAAAGAAAAGAAAGAGAGAATATCACGACACTATGAATTTTATCCTGCAGTGCTATGATAGGTTGGCAATTTCTTTTTTGTAAAAAAGGAAATATTTGCCATGATGGTTGTTAGTGTTCAACAAGAAAAGGGGCGGATATGAGCGTAGATTGCTGTGAATAATTAAAACAATACAACATTTTCAATATTGGTAATGAAAATGCATTCAAGATGTGTTCTATTAAACTCTATAATCTATGGATTAAACTAGTGACAAAAATGGCTTTAGATTTAGCAATGAACCAGTTCACTAACCTATACAAACAGTAGATCTCATCTCTAGGATAGATTCATGTTTTCTTTGATGATATAATTCCATAACATGCAGAAATCATTATTATGACCATATAAACACCTATTTGATACCCATCCTTTGTATCGCTCTTTTAGCAGTTTTTAAGTATCTGGCAGAAGGGAAATTCTAAATTGAGAACTTGGAATCATAAAACAGCAGCCAAATGGAAAGAGATATCTTGCAGTAACAGTAGAAAATTTCCTTAAAAGCATAAAGCACTTCTCATAAAGGTTTTTAGGTTTGATCTTAGCAATCAATCTGTCAAAAGTACCGTCTTTCACTATTATAACATTAAAGGTAATCTTAAATATCATACTATTTTGTTATCATTCCAATTACTTACTGAACGGATGTAATTTCCAAGGACAACAACATAATAACAAATGTGGTCCTTAAGCAGTCAAAGTAACTTGAGAAATACTAGCAATGTATTTCTTAGCCTCCAGATTGTTATGAGCAATCCAGGGTGCTTTTTGATGGTCAACAGTGTACGAGCAATCCACAAATGCATCGTGTTAAGTTCGTTTGATCTTATTACCTTCTTGATCAATTAATAATCAATGTGTTTCACCTGTAATATATAGAATATTGTAAGTTTCTAAATGCAATACAATAACCTTGTCAAAGAATCCATGATAACCTAAATAAACAGATATCAAAGATTGCATTCTAAATGCAATACAATAAAAATTGCATTTGGGTTCTCTAATATTTGTCCTGGTTGCTCACTCAATGCAGATGCTCAAAGAATCCTTCCCTCAATTATTAATTTCCATTTCATGAAACAAAGCGGAAAAAGGTTTATCTTGAACACACCTTGCTCCAGGGAGATTCTTCTTATTGTCCTTCAGCTAGCATTCCTCGGCAGCTTCATATTGCAGTTTTTATGGCAAAGAATCAGTCTCTTATGTCCACAGAGAGCTCAAATTGCAGAGAAACGGCAACACAAGTATATTGACAGAGCACCTACTAATTTTTCTTTGGACTTTGGAATTGCATTGAAAGCTAGCCTTGGGTGTAGTTCTTTACTATCAGCAAGTCACCTATTGCTACTAGTGTTGCTCCTGCTAAAAGGTCACTATGAGAGCTGCTCATCTCTGTCGTTCAGTATCTCCTCAGAGATAATTCAAGTCCTGACATGGATTGTAATATCTGTGCTACTTTTCCGAACATGGAAAGAAAGACTCATTGATATTCCCTGGACTCTGAGGGCAGGGAGCATTTTCTGCTTCTTCCAATCAGCTCTCTGCGCCTCTCTTGATATTTACTACATCATACAACACCAGGGACCTCCGAGAAAAGAGCACTATGTTGATTTTCTGAGTTTTCCTATATGTACATACCTATTCCTATTCTCTATCAGAGGTAGAACAGGTATCAGCACCACTCAAAGCAGCATTACTGACCCACTTCTGGATAGCTTAACAACAGAGCATGAAGATGGGAAAAGAGTACCTTCCAGTTATGGAAAAGCCACTCTCCTCCAGCTCATTACTTTCTCTTGGCTCAATCCACTGTTTGCTGTGGGCTACAAGAAACCCCTTGAACTTGATGATGTGCCAGATGTTGATGTCCAAAACTCTGCCGAATACGTCTCTCAACTGTTACAGGAACATCTGAATAAGCTCAGGGAGAAAAATGGCTCCCAAAACCCATCTATCTACAAAGCAATTTACCTCTTCAGTAGAAACAAAGCTACCAGTAATGCTGTCTTTGCAGTTATTAACGCAGGCACATCATACATAGGGCCTTACCTGATAGATGATTTCGTAAAATTTTTGAGTGGGAAAAAGAACCAGAATATGACTAGTGGCTACTTTCTGGCTCTTGGTTTTTTTGGAGCAAAAGTAGTCGAAACAGTCACTCAGAGGCAATGGATTTTCGGGGCAAGACAGCTAGGTTTGCGGTTGAGAGCAGCTCTTATATCACATATATACAAGAAGGGGTTGAGGCTATCAAGCCAGTCCCGTCAAAGCCATAGCAGTGGAGAGATTATTAACTATATTAGTGTAGATATTCAGAGAATCTCAGACTTCATCTGGTACTCAAACATAATATGGATGTTGCCGATACAGATCTTCCTTGCCATGTACATTCTCTACACAAACTTGGGATTCGGATCATTAGCAGGATTTGCAGCAACATTTCTAGTTATGATATGCAACCTCCCAATAACTCGGATTCAAAAATATTTCCAATCTAATATAATGCAAGCTAAGGATGACCGAATGAAAACAACATCAGAGGTTCTCAGGAACATGAGGACTCTTAAGCTCCATGCATGGGACACCCAATATCTTCAAAAGCTCGAAGAGTTAAGAAAGACAGAGTACAATTGGCTAAAAAAATCGCTGCTCCTGTCTGCAACATCATCATTTATCTTTTGGGGTGCCCCGACATTCATATCAGTAGTGACCTTTGGAGCATGCCTACTATTGGGGATCCCTCTTACTGCTGGGAAAGTTCTAACTGCGTTGGCAACATTCAGAATGCTACAGGATCCCATTTATAACCTCCCGGACCTGCTCTCAATAATCGCACAGGCTAAAGTATCAGCTGATAGAATTGCCCATTACCTTCAAGAAGATGAAGTTCAAGCAGATGCAATTGAGGTAGTACCAAGAAGTGAATCAGGGTCCGATATCGAGATTGATGGGGGGGATTTCAGTTGGGACCCAAATTCAAAGACCCCAACTCTCAGTGGAATACAGTTGCAAGTGAAGAGGGGGATGAGGGTGGCTGTTTGTGGCACCGTGGGATCAGGCAAATCAAGTTTGCTTTCTAGCATATTAGGAGAAATGCCAAAATTAGCTGGGAGAGTGAGGGTCAATGGTACCAAAGCTTATGTTCCTCAGACTCCATGGATCCTTTCAGGTAATGTCCGAGAGAACATTCTGTTCGGAAGAGGGTATGACACGGCCAAGTATGAGGAGACAATTCAAGCATGTGCCTTGGTGAAGGATTTTGAGCTCTTCTCCAATGGGGACTTGACAGAGATTGGGGAAAGAGGAATCAATATGAGTGGAGGCCAGAAACAAAGGATACAAATCGCACGTGCAATTTACCAGGATGCAGATATTTACATTCTAGATGACCCATTTAGTGCCGTGGATGCCCACACTGGCACTCAGCTTTTCGAGGTTGGTTTCTCATGCGACTGCTCCATAATAAGAACATGGGAATTTTACATATGGAGCAGATAAAAAATTATGGAATTAATCTTTGGACCATTTATTTTCAGAATTTTACGGTGAGGTCCATAGATATTCGGTTCGATGTTTCAAATATCGAACCTCTTTTTTTTTTCTTCCTTTCTCTCGTCATTTGTGAGATTGTCTGATGGATATGATATTGACCAACCCTTTCTAGGGCGGCTCGATAATGGAAACATCGGACAGCCTACAATCTAATCTATTGTTTATATGGGTTGGTCCGATGTTCCGATCAAAGGACCTGTACACTTGAAAAAATATAAGCTAAAGTGTGGAGCCCATCCGATGAATGGAACATCCGAACGCCCCATAGAAAAGGGCAGTCTGATGTTGCCGATATCAGATCCCCCCCACCAGAAATGGGGTGGTCCGATATCTTATCCATCAGACTGCCACACAAAAACCAAAAAATAAAAAATAAAGCTATTTGATTTTTTAACATTGAACCAAGGGTAAAACTAGAATTCAAAAAGGGAAATGAACTTGTGAGACCCTCCTACACCCAAGTGTGTAGGACCCCAAAGGATCACCATTAAATTTGGCACAGATCTCTAAAAAAGTCAAGTCCCACACCTATATGATAACTTTTCTAGAGATTTGTGTCAAATTTAATGGCGATCCTTTGGGGTCCTACACACATGGGTGTGGGAGGGTCTCATAAGATCATTACTCTTTCAAAAAAAACACAAAGAAAGACCTCACAATAAAATTCCTGAAAATATGGACTATAGGTTAATTCCAGAAATTTTACCCAGTCCATATGTCAATTTCCCCAGAAAACATCACCAGTCGGTGGGCTGGAGTACAAATGATTTTTAAATTATCTTTCAAAGAAATCCCATCTCTTCTTGTACAAGGAGAACATGTCATCTCTTTGTACTCACATGATTATCCCTGTTACTGAAATTACAATTGCAAAATCAACAACCTCACAATTTTCAACTTCATCAACACGGATTGAGAAACATTGAGACTAAATGTAACAATAATTCTGTGCAATTTTTTTTCTGATTAGTTGACTAGAATTCTGTGCAAATGAATTGTGCAGGAGTGCCTAATGAAGATTCTCAAAGACAAGACACTTATTTACGTAACCCATCAAGTTGAGTTTCTTCCAGCAGCAGACCTCATACTGGTATGTAGAATGATTGGTTCCAGCTGATTCTAACCTACTTTTTGCAGACCGGAGAAAGTTGCAGATGTAAAAACCAACACTGTTGTTCACAAAAATAAGAAAAAACAGTTTGAAAAGATGAAAAGGAAAACGAAAACAATGCCTGGAATGATGAGAATTTTTTTAAACTAAGTAATTAAGAGATTACTCTTTTCAAACTTAAGTCCTTCCTTTGTCAACATTCTTGGTGCCCATGAAAGTTTTGATCAAAATCCCGGCTTTCTTAACAGGTTATGCAAGATGGAAGAATTGCACAAGCTGGAAAGTTTGACGAGCTTTTAGAACAGAAAATTGGGTTTGAACTTTTAGTTGGTGCTCACCACCAAGCACTGGAATCCATCACCACAGCAGGAGCATCAACTAAAACCACTCACAAAAGTGACAGACAGATAAATGGGTATTCTAACAAGAAAGAAGTTGAAACAGAGGCTGAGACACAAACTCCAGTGCTTCAAAATGGTATTAAGCACACTTCCACTGCACCCAAACCAAATTCTCATCTTGATTTTGCAAGTAAAGAGGGCAGATTAGTGCAGGATGAGGAGAGAGAAAAAGGAAGTGTTAGTAGACAAGTTTATTGGTCTTACTTGACCGCAGTTTGGGGAGGACGCTTGGTCCCAATCATCCTATTTTCACAGACACTCTTCCAAGTTCTACAGATAGGGAGTAACTATTGGATGGCATGGGCATCTCCTCCCACAATTGACACTCGGCCAACAGTTCAAACCAGCATTCTCTTTTTGGTTTATATACTCCTTTCCGTAGGAAGCTCTCTCTGTGTTTTGGTTAGAGCAATGTTGGTTGCTATTGCAGGCCTTCTAACATCACAAAAGTTCTTCACAAACATGCTCCATAGTGTCCTCCATGCTCCGATGTCCTTCTTAGATGCAACCCCAACAGGAAGGATCTTAAATAGGGTCAGTCTGATACCCTCTGGCATGTATTGTGAAGCACACGCATACACGCACTCACATATGGAGAGAAATTACTGTATACTTCAACATTACTTGGATGATTACATTAAAATAGACTAATCATTGACGCACTCACATATGGAGAGAAATTACTGTATACTTCAACATTACTTGGATGATTACATTAAAATAGACTAATCATTGACCATGTTAACAGGCCTCTACAGACCAAAGTGTCCTGGACTTGGAAATGGCAATGAAATTAGGATGGTGTGCTTTTTCCATAATTCAAATCATAGGAACAATTGCAGTCATGTCGCAGGTAGCATGGCAAGTGTTCGCTCTGTTTATTCCAATTACAGCAACCTGCATATGGTATCAAGTAAGTGTGTTCCTAGTCTGAAATTTGTGATTTATAGATGCAATAATTTCCCAATTTTGAGCCAATTCTGATAACTTGTAAACTCTCTAATAAGAGAATCATAGATAGCATCAAAAGCATGTTACAATTCATAAATAACCAGGGAAGTTTTTAGGGGCCTATGAAATATTCAAGTGTCTCTGATCTAGCAAGAACTAAAAAGTTACTTCTAGTACCATGGCAAACTTTGCTAATTTGCTCTTATTAGGAAAACTGAAAGTGTCTTCCTCTTAGCAATCTGTTGATTAATTAGATAACTTTTGCTTTCTTGTTTACAGCAATACTACACCCCTACTGCAAGAGAGCTTGCTCGATTAGCAGGCATTCAGCAAGCACCAATCCTCCACCATTTTGCAGAATCACTAACTGGGGCAGCCACCATCCGAGCTTTTGGCCACGATAGTCGTTTTGCGAATACCAATCTCATTCTTATCAATGATTTTTCTAGGCCATGGTTTTATAATGTTTCTGCAATGGAGTGGCTTTCCTTTAGACTGAACATACTATCCAATATTGTGTTTGCATTCTCATTGGTTTTGCTAGTGAGCCTCCCGGAGGGCGTGATAAATCCAAGTGAGAACTCAAATAGGATATTTGCATGGTTTATGTTGAATTGATATCTGATTTTTCGCATGCACAGTGGGGCTCATGACTAATATCTCTTGGACTATAGGCATCGCAGGATTGGCAGTGACATATGGATTGAATCTCAACGTACTGCAAGCTTCTGTGATCTGGAATATATGCAATGCAGAAAATAAGATGATCTCAGTGGAACGGATGCTTCAATACTCAAATATTGCAAGTGAAGCTCCTTTGGTTATTGAACATTGCAGACCCCCATACAATTGGCCTTCCAAGGGAACCATAAGCTTCAAAAGTTTGCAGGTACCTTGTTGCTTTAAAAATTGTTAATCCTTAATGTAATAAACCTATTTATCTTTTCAAGGTGAATAAAATGAATGAAAACCATTTACCTAAATAAGAATCAAGATTGTTGCCCACAAGAAGAGGTGTAGCTTAACAAGGGCACCAAGTTGAAGATCCCATGCTTGAGACCAATGAAGTGCTATGCACTATAATGGCACTAAATGGTAGAAATGATCAAGAGAAAAAGGATAGCTGAAATGACATTAATTGAATGTAAACATAGAGATAAATACAGCATCCATAGCAACCCCTTAAATCTGGATGGATTTGCCAATCAGACAAAGCTCCCTAAAAGATGGTGAATGACTTAAAATATTCAATAAAGATTCACAAAGAGATGAGATAGGATGAATCAAATGACAGAGAAGAAACATAGTCAATGCTATATGAGTTAAATGACCAACAATCACACCTTTTTCCCAATGTTTAGAACATAGGATTGAATAACTGAAGGACAGTGGAAAGATTTGCTAGTGAGCAACAATAAATTCGATAGGCAATAATTTCTTATAAAGGAGACTTACAAATTTCTCTACTCCCAAAGTGTTTAGTGTGTGTCTTATACTAATAATACTGACGACAAGATGATGATTTTTCACCTATAGGTACGATATTCTGAGCATCTGCCATCTGTTCTGAAAAACATTACATGTACATTTCCCGGAAAGAAAAAGGTTGGTGTTGTGGGGAGGACAGGAAGCGGGAAATCAACCCTTGTCCAGGCCCTATTCCGCTTAGTGGAGCCAAAAGAAGGAAGCATCATCATTGATGGTATAAACATTGGTATAATAGGCCTCCATGATCTGAGAACCAGATTGAGTATCATTCCTCAAGATCCAACGATGTTCCAGGGGACTGTGAGAGGAAATCTTGATCCATTGGAAAAATACTCAGATGCAAAAATATGGGAGGCAAGTTGAAAATCTTGTTTGTGAAAAACATAGTTGGACAATAACGATGGGAACATGCATGCACACATGATAATGATAGAAACACACATGCACATACAAAAGAGATATGTATGTAAATAGACATGCATGCATGCACACAAGATATATGTATGCATGCATACAAGAAATATGTATGTATGTATGTAGGCATGCATGTCTTTACAAAATTAGCAGCTGTCACTTCCAGTTATTTTTTTTATTTTTATTTTTTTTTAAATCGAAACAGATTTCAAAATTCAAATTACTCCCAAGTCTGTCTAACCTTTTGAACTCAGTCACAAAGAACTCTCTCCATTTAAATGTTGTAAAGTACAGTATCAACTTAATCTACCATTGTATGTCATTACTCAGGCATTAGACAAATGTCAGCTTGGAGATATCATTCGTGGAAAGGATGAAAAATTATACTCACCAGGTCGGGAACATCCCTAAACTCTAGCCCAGTTTGTCTTCTTACTATACATGCATAGAAGCACTCAGTGCTGCATTTTTTAAATTGATGTATTGGGGGCTAATTCCAGTGGTTGAAAATGGAGAAAATTGGAGCGTTGGCCAGCGGCAACTTGTCTGTCTTGGAAGAGCCCTACTGAAGAGAAATACCATTCTTGTCCTTGATGAAGCAACTGCCTCAGTTGATTCAGCAACCGACAGCATTATTCAAGAGATCATTAGACAAGAGTTCAAAGAATGCACCGTAGTCACTATAGCACATCGAATTCATACCGTTATAGACAGTGATCTGGTTCTAGTTCTCAGTGAAGGTATTGTTCTTAACACAAAACAGCACACAAACATGCATGTGTCATGTATCCATACAAGTATCTACTTTGTGTATGTATGCATCATTATGCATGTAAGTGTTTTGATCAACCAATATGCATGCATGTCCATATACACAAATTCATGGAGATACACGTAATTTCCATGTCTATTATGATCAGCCCAACAAAGGAAAATAGGCACTCTCACGGGTAATATTTTTGGAACATTACCATAACTAATGGAAATTTACTTTTTGGCAGGAAATATTTTGGAATATGATTCTCCTGTTAAACTACTGGAACGAAAAGAGTCTGCCTTTTCAAAGCTTATAGAAGAATATTCTTTGAGATCAAAGAGCTTCAAAGGTCAGTGAAGTCAAGACTAATACAAGAAACACAAGTTAAGCAGAGCATGCACAAGACTTCAACTAGAGTTTGGGCTGCTAATAAATGACCAAAGTGAGGAAAATTGAAGTCTCTGAGGAAAAGGGAAAGCACCATCAAGCTTTTGAAGTTCCCCATAAGACCAACAGATCAACAGCTAGGTACATTATGAGCAGCCAAGCATATTTTGTGCAACCTTGCCTGCGAGCTAGGCTGTGGACACAATGCATCTCACAATAAAGAAAAGGAAAAAACCTCACTGAGAACTCTCTCCCTTGCTAGGTCCATATCCATATGAGTAATGAGACAAGTTCCAATGATAATTATATGGGTTTCTTCCACTTTCCCATGAAATCATGATAAATTTGTGTTTTGGTGATTATTCCTTGTGTTTTGCTAGCTCACTCTCAATACCATTATGAAGCTTCATAAAAAGAATTATAATGCATGAACACAGTTTAGGTGTGGCACCAATAGCAATAAGATGAGAGAGTAAACTTTGGTGGGCTGGCCATGTGTGGCGCAGATCCAGACAACACCTCTAAAGAGATGCGAGTTAGTTCAAGTGGAAGGCTCAAAAAGAGCAAGGGACCAATTAGCTGGGAAAAAGGCTTTAATGTTGATGATGAGGGTAAAAGAGGGGAAGCCATTAAACAACAAAGGGAAGGTGAGATGTCATGTTTGACAAATGATATCTACGATATTAGCTAAACTTATAAGATAGAAAAATATTTATACCAACAACACAAAAAAAACACAAACGTTTCAGCAATTTCAACTTTTAATATCCATATGAGAAAGGATGAGGGTTGTGTTAGGTTCCACCCAGTGGAAAACTTTTGCCACATCATTATGAATCTTGATCCAACATTATATATTTATGATAGGGCCTTCTCTATAGCGTCACGTTGCACATCTAGGTGCAGTGAGAAAGGAGCAAGGCTTGGCTAGGGTGTTCCCTAGAAGCGGCACACTGCAATGACACCCGCTTGCGATGATATGTAGGCAAGGGTTCCTGTGTCATATTGGACAAGTGTGGGTAAAGAAGTTAGTCCGAGATAATAGGATTCATGACCAATAGAATATAGAAACTCTATCACATAAGAGTATTGAGTTAGTGGATACAATGAGAAGAAGGAGAGTTACATAACTTGTTTATAGGAAGAAAACTAGTGGAGAAGGGTAAAAGCTAAGGAAATTGATGGATACAAACCTTGGTATATAAAAAACGATAATAATAGAAATGATGCAGATATAATGGTAGACAAAGATTTAAAAGAGTATTAAATGTTAAAGAGAGTAGATGATAGGCTATTATTAATCAAACATGGATTAGGAAAGGACATAATTAATGTATAAAAGATAAAGTAGTAAATGTTAAAGAGAGTAGATGATAGGCTATTATTAATCAAACATGGATTAGGAGAGAACATAATTAATGTAATTAGTGTTATACACCATAGGATAGAGTTAAAGACAATTTTGGGAAGTCATAGACGGACTAGTCCAAGGAATACCAATTGGAAAAGATAGTAGAGGATATAAAAGGGTACATAGAGGATATGGATTTGGATAAAGAAATGAGATAAGTGATATTATTCTTGATTATACTATGGCTTTTAGAAAGCGAGATGAATACAAAATAACCTACAAAAGTGGATCATATAAAAGTTGGATAAACTTTTTTTGGCTAAGAAGACAGAATGATCAATCATGTAAAGACTATAAGATTATCCCAAAAGAGAGTTTGACTATGCAATATAGGCTCATGATTATATATATTTGCATTGCAAGATGGAAGAGAATGAGTGACATTAATGGGTGTCCAAGAACTAGGTGGTGGCACTTAAAAAAGGAGAAAATAGACATACGCAGGAATGAATTATGAGGACAAAGTTAATGTTACATGGAATGAGATGGCTTGTTGTATTAAGAAAGTGGCAAAAAAAGTTTTAGGGGAAAACTTGGTGTTAAAATAATGAAGTTCAAAGGGCTATTACCGAAAAGCGGTCACGTTACCAAGCTTGGCAATGGAATAAAAATGAACAGACTTTATAAGAATATAAAATTGTCAAGAGGAACACTAAGAAAATAATAAGTAAGGCAAAGCTTAATGCATATGATGATCTATAAAATAAATTGGGAACAAGAAAAGGTGAAAAAGATGTCTTAAAACTACCAAAAATGGAGAGAAAGTATAGTATCATATTAAATGCATTAAGAGTAAGGATCAGAGAGTGTTCATGAAAGATGCTGAGGTCAATGAAAAATGGGAATTTATTTTCAGAAATTGTTAAATGACGACCAATATAAGAGCCCAACATTAGGAGGAACCATTAACATAAATGAGATCAAAAGGTCATAAATTTTCATAGGATTAAGATTATATAAAGTTAAAGGAGCTTTGAGAAAGATGAAGACAGGAAAGGCTTTAGGACCAAATGGTCCACCAATGGAGGTTTGGAAGTGCATGGAGATATTTGCATATTCTAGTTAACCAAGCCGATCGACAAGATTTTGAAAATAAGAAAACCAGATGAATGGAGAAAAAGTATTGTGATACCTATTTACAAGAACAAATAAGATATACAAAATTATACGAACTATCGAGGGATCAAACTTATAAGCCACACTATGAAATTGTAAGAGAGATTGATTGAGCAACATCTAACACATGAAACGAGTGCACCAAGAAATTCGTTCAAATTTACGCTAGGGAAGTCAACCAACCACTGAAGCTATTTTCCTGCTTGGGCAATTGACAAAGAAGTTTAGGAAGAAGAGAAAAGGCATCTATATAATCTAGATATAGAGAAAGCATGTAACTAGAGAGAGAGTTTGATGGGTAGGTGCTAGAAAAGGAGTCTCAAGAGAATATATTAATATAGTTAGGGATACGTACAAGGGAGTGCTACTAATGTGAGGACAACTAGTGGAGAGACACGTGAATTTTTAATCACAGTAAGCTTATTGCCTACATCAAGGGTAGCGTTGAGCCCATTTCTTTGTTTTGGTTATGGACGAGTTAATTAGACATCTACACGATGAAGTCCCATGGTATATTTTATTTGTGGATGACGCAATTTGATTATGATACTAAGATGGCATAAACGTAAAGTCAAAACTTTGGATGGATGCTTTAGAATCTAAAGTTTTAAAATAGCTGGACTAGGACAGCACATACAGTATGCAAGCTTAGTAATAATAGGAGCAAAAATGAGGAATTAGTTAAGCTTGATGGCCAATAAGTGCCTACAAGAGACATTTTTTATATTTTTTATTGATAATCAATGGGATAGGAGAGACTGAGGAAGATATCGCTCATAAAATTAGAACTAGGTGGACGAAGTGGAGATGTGCTTCTAGAGTCATATGCGATCATTGCATACTAATGAAACTGAAGGGGGCGTTCTATTGGACAGTTGTAAGACCAATCATGCTTTATGGGACAAAAGTTGGGCGGTTAATAAACAATATATCCTTAGAATAAATATAGCTGAGATGAGATTGTTGAGATGGATGAGTGGCAAAACAAGAAATGATAGAATTCGAAATGAATACATTCAAGGGAACTTGGGGGTAGCTCCAATAAGTACGAAATTAGGTAAAGTAGATTTAGGTGGTTTGGTCATGTGCAATGTCGACCTAGAACAACACTAGTTAGGAGGGGTAATTCGGTTCAAGTGGAAAACTCTAAAAGGGCAGAAGGAAGGTCTCAAAAGACATGTATGGAAGTAGTGATAAAAAATATCGTGACTTATGGAGTGGAATAGCATAACAGGATTTGTTCAACCAATCCCAAATAGTTGGGATAAGGCTCAGATGATGATGGTGATGATGATGAATGTCCACATTCTCATAATTGAATACAATATTTTCTTCCAATTTTATCACATCTCTCCAAGAGAAAAGGCACAATTGTGCATTTTAATCACTATATATGCAGCAAGAACATAACATTTTGGCTTAAGAATACTCAATGAAACTTCTTCTTTTTTTTTGAGAGAGAGATAGAGAGAGAATTGACTGCAACATAGATAAGAGTACAAATAGAGGCTACAAAAAATCCAGCCCCAAATTAGAGAAGAGCCATATTTACAAAATGAGTTAGAATACAACAATTGTGCCACTGACAGCTATCTATTGTGCAGTTGGAGAATACTCAATGAAGCTACGTTGCATGATAATAAAACAGTAAACCTTAATTAAAACTTGACTGAGATATTTCTATTCAATATCTAATACAAGTATGTAACCAATCAGAAAATAAGAGATGATATTAATCTTTGGAGAAGTAAAAAGGGGGGTTTTATTTCTCTAAAAACAATTCGCTCCGGTAGATTAAAATCCTGGATTTAGCTCAAATTCCAGGTTTCAGATTTATAAGGAAATTTGAAAGCTGGATTTTGGATAAATGTTGTTTGATGAGCATCTGGATAGAACCTAGGCTTTATATTTCTATCATCTAGCTCACCTGTTTGTAAAATCTATGTTCTGCCAACTTCTTTCTCTTTTTAGGTTGTAAAAGGGTTATTCTTTTTTCCATTTTTTGGGATCTAATTCTCATATTGATTTTCAAGTGTAAGGGTAAAAAAATATTTACTCAAATCTGAATTACGTAAATACAATTTTCTTCTTTTTGAGGATCTAATTATTTTTACTCAAGATTGTGGTTTTTTTCTTTGAAGATCTACTGATGGATAAACCCAAGAAGACATGACTTCTTCTCACTCGAAGCAATTAGGAGTGAGAAACCAGGGCACGAACTTATTATGAAACCAAAAACATAAAAACAAAAAAAAGGGATGAAGCATACCAAACTCACTACAAAAACCAAAAAAGACATATTACTAAAGCCAAGGAGAAACCACAACATCAAAAGTACAAAAAATAGCAAAGATACAAGCCATATTAATAAAATTTATCCAAAACCAAAAAAGAAGCCATTTGTTGATAAACAACTCATTTTCAACAATTCACCCAAACCCCAAATTGGTCCACATTATTAAAAGCCAAGGTTGTAAACATGAAGAGCGGCGCGTACGTGGCCGGGTAGGGAGCTGGATGCCTAGGCGCTAGGTAGGTGCCCACGTCTTGACATAGCCCAAACACATACATGCAATATATTGCATTATGTATGTATGTATATTTGTGTATATTACATGTAGTCTAAGCAAGTATATATGAGATGGAAAACACATTGAAATCATTTAAATCACATTTCATTATTGGCAATTGCAATATATCACTATTCTTCTTAGTAAATGTGAGATAAACTAAGTTAACTAACTAACAAACACAATTTGAAACCCCTGATTGCATGCCTCTCTATGGGACTTGACATGCTCCTTTGTGAGTCCTAACTCCTGTAGTATGACTCCTTAAGCTCGTGCTGGTTTGGGCCTTTCAACCCTAGCCCAAATTGGCCAAATGCCACCACCATTGTATGAAAGTTGTTTATAAGAGGAGCATTGAAATGAATGCCACCTGATAAATCCACCGAGTAGCATATTGATTTACTGTAGCTTGCTCTTCCTTCTTGAACCTATTGCCAATTATTATTTTCTCTTTCCTTTTCGCTATTGTGGCCTCAGGATTAGGGGGAGGAGAAGGCATCCACCTCTTATGCCTGACTCCTCCTAGCACCTCAAGAGGGAACCCACGATACCCACTTCAGTTCGCCTTTATTATCATCTTCCTCATCCCTTTATAATCTTCTTTTTCCTCATCAATAACGCCTTAGTAACTTCCCCCAAAACTTCAACTCCCTAATACTAGCAAAATGTTTTTTAAATTTATGGTATCCCTGCATTTGTCTTTTTGTCACAAACGTGCATCGAAGGTTGTTCTAATAATTTTTTTAAGGAAAAACATATTTTCATCCTAGATCCCTATTCTTGTTAGAACTGCAGAGAAGGAATCTCAAATATGAAGAAACTTTACTAACCTTTATTGCCCCATCTTCAATCATTGATGCTGGAAATCCTTCTCTGTACAAGTTCTCGTACAAGGTTTTTGAACACAACTTCGATAGACTAAACTACTTTCTCTTCAGGGGGTGAGGGCCTTTTTACGAGGAAGATAACAGGGGGAAGAGGAATCAATGAAGAATCCAGGAAATAGCAAAGGAGAAGTAAAGGCAAGAGATTGAATGAGCGGTGGGAATAGTGAAACAAAGAGAAGATCGTGGGGTAGAGTAATTCGTCAACTCATCGGGCTTATGATCTGATAATTACGGGTTTGAATCCTGTCCCCGCCTAGGGGGGAGGTTGATCACGTAATCAAATTCGTGATTTGGATGAATATTAAGTTCTACAGGGCTATTTCCATCTGCAAGAAAAGCAAAGGCAGGCACCCATCTAGGCCGCCCAGGGCGGCTCGCCTATGCTCTGGCCCTCGGGCGAGGCAGAGGGGCCAGTGGAACATATCAATCAATATTTAAAAAAATTGCATGCAGCCATTATAAAAGAAGCAAGAAAGCTTATTAAAGAAACATGCAAACATGAGAAAACAAACTCAACCGTATTCAACAATTCTCCCAAACTCCAGAGTCAAACATATCACAAATATAAACTACAGATGAGGGGGTGGACCTGAGGCCAAGGAAGAACAATACAAGGAGTGAAGAAACAGGCCATTTACCAGATTCGTATTTCACCGAAGAAGCCATCAAAAAATGGAAGAAGAAGTACAGAGACCATCATGAAAGAAACCATCATGTAAAAGAGGGTTTAGAGCTTCATACACCGGTTTAAACATCCCAAGAAAAAAAAAAGACATAAAACAATTCTCCAATACCCAGTCGGAACCTCTAAACAAATCTAAATATAAGAAGAAATAAATCACCCATTATTCAAGAAGAAGAATAATCCATCATCGGAAAAAAAAAAAACTAATGGAATTTAAGGAACTGATCACATAGAAGTAATAGAACTACAAAAACCAATTACACAATTCCCATTCAACATTGGGCATTGCAACCAAAACCCAAACCACAAGTTAAAAACCCTTCATCAATAGAGGTTTTAAGCTTACAATAGCAAAAAAAAAAAAAAAACTTATCAAGAACGACAAGAATGGAGCTTGAGCCACATGTAAAACAATAACAAAGGAGGAATTAACAACCTATATATCTATATAAACATTTCACCCAAGCTGAAGCCATTACAAAATGGAAGGAAAGGAAATAAAATCCCATCAGGAAAACCGAAAATAAGAGTTGGAGCTTCATCCAGCGTACAACCACAACAAGCATCAAAGAAAACAACCCATATTAAAAAACGCATCCAAAACTCAGCCCAAAACACGCTTACAAATGGGGTAGAGAAAACAATCAAAACCCCATGATGAATAAGAAATAGAAAAAGAAGAAACCGTGGCCCCACAATCAAGAAGAAAGCGATGGATAGAGCTTTAGACACTGGTTTTGACACCTCTTAACACAAACATCACCCCAATTGGGGATAGGAGGGTGATGATCCTCTGCACAGATACTACTTGTACAAGCATTAACACAACAATCTAAACCAGAAACTCCACAAACTGTTAAGCAAGTGTCGGAGGGTGAACCCTTCACCTTGTTGAGTATTCTCTTTGAAGCGCAGACACGTTCACACACAAATGGCTTCTTATGTGTGAGGCCTCCCCCATTTCGCAAGGTTTCTGGTGCTGCAGTTTTGGCGGTTTTCTGATGGCCGGTGAAGCGAATTCCGGCGGTTACAACGGCCAGGGCAGGAGGAATTAGTGCCCACCACCAGTCCATTGTGCGTAGGATTCTAAGTTGCTAAGATCTAAGGGTACTGTATGTTTCTTAGAGATACAATAATTCCGGTCGAAAACTCCGGCCAGTACTCCCATAAACCGGAGGCGAGGCACTGCGCTTGCTCAGAGTAACGAGCGACAGGCGATGTTATCAGCATCGTTAGCAAGCCGGACAGGCGATGTTATCAGCATCGTTAGCAAGCCGGACAGGCGAAGTTATCAGCGTAGTTAGCAAGCCGGCGAATAATAAGACTAACGATACTATGATACCCGAGATGATCACCATTAAATTTTGAATCTCTATAAAAATTATCCATAAACCCATTCTTTGAAACCAATATTTGAAGGTAGGCTCTAATTTGGTTGTTTAAAGCCTAAGATACAAACTGCACCCTCTTCAGCGCGCACAATTAATCTTAACCGCGAAATTCGATAATTTTATCTATTTCATCTTGAACTTTGTGATGACCCAAGCTATCAAAGTTTTATATCGGATGGATGGTTGTATATTGTTGTAACCTCGAGGATAAATGTTCTCATTGTATACAATCCTTTATTATTATTCGAGTAATAACACTATGAGACCCTCCCACATTTATGTGAGTAGGACCCCAAATGATTATCATTCAATTTTGACATAGATCTCTGTAAAATTTATCACATAGATGTGGGATTTGGGTGAATGAATTTATTGATAATTTTTTTAAATATCTGTGTCAAAATTTAATGGTGATTATTTGAAGTCCTACTCACATGGATGTTGGAGGGTCTCATAAAATCATTACTCTTTTTATATTTATTTATAAAGTTTAAAGCTTAAAAAATAGTGTAGATCGATATATCTATGAAAACTTGAAAATCTTTAAAAATGACTGTAAAAAACTGCATAACAGGATACACTATTTTCAAAACTTAAAATCCATTTTTTTTCATGCACATACATCTTGATGTCGAGATGATCAATTTGAAGATATTTAAACATCAAAACAACCTTTTATAATAAATTTTTTGTGGTAGGCTAAATTTTGATTGTTTGGAGCCTCAACTCTATATAAACTTTTCCCAAAGATAAATAATCTTACTACATATTTTTTTTATTAGCAATATCAACAAACTTAATAAATTGATTTTATTTTAAAAAAAATTGAGGAAAAATCTGGTCAAAATCACCAAAAAAAAAGGAAAAAAAAAGGGTAAGTTATAAAATTGTGGATATTTCATATTTGGCTCAAAAAGATAGATTGAAAAATAAGATGTAGAAATATGACATACTAGATGATTATGATTTGTATATATTGTATAGATACATTATAGTAATATCAGCAAACTTAATAAAGTTAATTTATTTTTTAAAATTTGAGGAAAAATCAGGTCAAAATCACAAAAAAATAATAAGGTAAGTTATAAATTTGTGGATATTTCATATTTGGCTCAAAAAAATAAACTGAAAAATCAGATATAGAAATATGATATACTAGAGGATTATGATTTGCAGTTATTGTCTAAAGGGAAAAGTACATATAAAGTGTCAACCTTATACTGTAGAGATAAGATCCACCTAAAAAACCCATCAAAAAATATTATTTCATCACTAGAAAATTCTCCAATTGATTATCCTGACCTCGATATATATGGACACGAAAAATAAAGGATTTCAACTCTTAAAAATAGTACATCTTGTAACACATTATCTATATCGTTCGTTCTTTAGATTTTCGAGTGCTCATAGATCTGCTAGATTTGCTCGAAGCTTTCAAATTTATTGTAGGGATGAAAAATATACTTTTAAGCCATGATAAGGGTTTAGACATCGAAAGTACATATTTTAATGAAATTTTGAGGTGCACCCTATCGTGATTGTTTAAGGTTGACACCTTATACAAACCTCACTTTTGTATAAATATATTATAATTATTGAACAATAATTTTATGGTTTTACCTAGTGCCATTAGATTAATACTTGACAATTTATTATTTTAAAAATATAACAATGCTTACCATGTTGTCATAACACAAAACATATTACATATTTAGTGGGATAAAACGAAACAACAACCATGATACTAAATCCAATAACTACATTAGTAAATAACAATAACAATATCAATAAATCAAGGCATAGGATTAATGTTTAAAGAAAAAAAAAGACCCTCGGTTAACTAACACAAAATACAAAGACGTAAAATATACAAAATAGTGGTCCATCCAAAATGATGTATTTGTATACATCAATGAAATAAAAGGTTTTAAAATATAAAATATGCAAGCAATGAAACGATTCTATGCATAAAAAAAGCAACAAAATGCTTAACCAAATTCGAATCTCACACAGAATTCCTAGTTGCGTAAATATTTAGAATCATTAAATCTCTCTCTTGCTCGTTATAATGATTCTTTGGGTTTAAAGGAAAATATATATTTTTTGTTGGGCTACTCTTCTCCTAAATTTAACTATTATTTTGAGATATGTTATTCTTTTGATATCGTATTATTTGGAGAATATAGATACAAAATTAAATATTTATACTAAATTGAACATCATTTGTCATTAAAAAAATCATAAACTATAAATTATTTGGGGAGAGGAATAGAAATCGTAGATGATATAAACGAGAGAGATAACAAGCATTGTGAGGGGGAGAGATAAATAGGAATAAATATGAGAGATATTTAATAAAAGAAGGAGAGAGATAAATGGTATATGAAATAAGTAAGGGAGAAAGGAGAGATTTTAGGAAAATAAATGGAAGAGCGATTTTTAAGAAAGAGGAATATGAGTAATAGAAACGGTAGAGAGGGAAACCGTAGATTATATAAATAAGAGAGAGATAAGAGAGACAATTAAATAAAAATGTACTAGTTTTTGAATGAGAAAGACGCATGGCGCAAAAATAAATGAGATATTTCTCTGGTTTAATATTGAATATACTATAATAATAAATAGATATACATGAATTCATTAGACTTGCACGGTGTTGAAGATTGGGCGATGAGTCCGAGGCGAAGACCCAATATGGTCATAGCTATGGAGATTTTGTAAAAGTGAAGTATTAGATCTACGAATGTGAAGATCAAAGTTTGTGGTAAGTGATATTTTTTCATTTGTTTGTTATATATGACTTTCTAGTTACTATGATAAGAAAAAAGTAGTTGTTAGGTGCTGAAGATTGGGCGTTTGAACACAGTCTCAAATGTATGGCAACATACCGACTTTTATAAGTCTCCATGAGAAGAGGAGAAAAATAATTGCCTATTTTTCTACATTTTAATATTGCAATAGTACATTTCGTGAATGCTCATTACATTTCAATATACTATCTATTGCATATTCACATGATTATTTATGCGATCGCTTATTTCATTCTAACGTGCAGCAAATGTAATCCAACTAGTTTAAATATTATTACTAAAAAATATATGATTATATTTATTTAAATATTATTTATATATAACATATAATAATACTATTTGGGTTGGATCGACATGAACCTAGACCTAGACCCAAATAGTGATCATGTACAATATTTGGACCTGGACCTCACCCGCTAGGTCCAATTTTTGGACCCAACCCAGACCAGGGTGGGGTTCGGGTCCCTACTTATTTGTAAAGGGAGAGATGGAAGGGGGAGGGGGACAACCCACGGGTTGGGGAAAGCAAAGTTTGTTGGCTTCAATTTGGCAGCATGCCTCCTCTCGTATCCAATAATTAATACTCCTCTCATCAAATGCATGTTTTATTGTGTTTGACAGGTAGTTATCGTCTTTGTTGAATGTCTGGTGGAACTCTAAATTCAATTCTCAAATTCGAACACAAGTCCCACCCTTTCTGCCATCAAAGAAAACACCTTTACCTTGGTAATAAAAAAACAGGAAAGTTTCCCTCTAACTCTCATAATTCCCTTTATTTCCGAAAAAAAAAAAAAAAAATACATACTCTCTCTCATTGTTCACATAGAGGATCACCCCGCATTGCCCACTCTAATGTAGATTTTGGTTTTGTTGGAAATTGATCAAAATCATTGCTTACTTGATTTGACAAATTCAACTAAAAATTGATCGGATAAAAAATTTGAAATATATTTTGTATTTTAAATTATTATATTAATTATTTCTAAACTTATTTTTACTAGATTATGAGTTGATTTTGATTAGACCAAACCCTTATCCAAGTAAGTAACTATGATTCCAACAATTGGACGAGCAATGATCCAATACAATGGTTGTATCATATTATAATGCAACCGCACTTCTAAAAAATCATGTTTGTGGTATCTGTATAAATCAAAATTTGTACACAAGCTCTCTTTATCTCAACAATCAATCCCCCCCCCAAAAAAAAAGTTCAATTTGAACCTTAGATATGGACCAAATGAGTCTCATCCAAAAACGAATCTAGGTCATTTATTTTGTGAATTTCAAGATCTTAGGCTTTATAAGTTCAAAATCATTTATTTATTTTTTAACGTTGTTCATCTAATGATCATAAAGACATATAATAAAATTGGAAATGAAAAATTCCTTCTAAGGCCAAGATCTAAGCATCTCACCAAAATAAATAGCCTGTGTTAATTGGGCTAAAAAAATATTTTATAGGTTACGTTTTCAAATTTTTTTTTTGTGAGTATTCATTAAAATAAAAAGAGTGTATATTTCAAAATTTAGATAAAACAAATGACCATAAAATAATTTTTTAAAATTATCGTATCATATTCCAATATACAAGGATTGCATGAAATCATTGCCGCAATCGGTCACTACATCTCAAGAAATAAAGGGTTTCAATGCACTGATATTCACAAGGGGCCAAGTTTAAGAGTAGGGCGAGTTTGGTTTTCCATTAATTATTTTACATTGGTCTATACTATTTCCATGTGGCTCTGTAAGAAAACGGTGTCCTTCCCCTCATTAATCACGGAGAGCAGCTTGCGATTGGTCCACGTGTCAATGCACCATTCGCCAGACGGTCATGGCTTCTTCGTCCACTGTCACCCATGCTCCTCATCTTCTGTACTCTCTCCCTCTCCTGCGTAAAAAGCACGTCTCAATGCATCGTCAAATAGAAGATTCGTGATACGTTTTCATCGATTTTATTCTTCAAAATCCACAAGTCTTTTTACTTAATCTCGAATTTGTGGGTGCATCCTCCTTGCTGCGGATCCAGTTTCCTGGTATGGGTTTTCTCCATTGATCTCTTCATTTCATTCCAAGCATCCTCTTGAGTTTTTTTTTGTCGTATTGTTCCCTAAAAGATGCTCCGGTTCCTCTATTATGGTACTCACAAATTTCCATGAATTCAATGCTCAATGGTGTTCTTTTTGGATTCGAATTATCATCTGATTTTCATTGTAACTTTTGCTTTTAAACTTGATTATTCTTGTTGCATTTGAGCCCCAAAACACGACGCGTCTTGCAGGTTTCATATTAGAAAACTTGCGTTAAGTGAAATTCATCCCCTGTGATGTGGCAATGGAGGCCATGGGATTGAAGAAATGATCATGAAATAGGAAGAAGGTATCTTCATTTTTTGAGGGAAATTTGGCAGGAGGACGAAATGGCGTGCTGTGGGTGTTTGGGGTGCCTTTTGAAGCTTCTGAACTTTTTGCTCACTCTCGTTGGCTTGGCGATGATCGGATATGGGATTTATTTGCTGGTTGAATGGAAGAATGATTCATCGACTGTCACTCTCATTTCAGTTTTGTCCAACCAGCCGATGATAAAACTGGGCAGACCTTTACTTCACATGGGACCTCTCTCTAGCAGCATCCTTACTGAACTCTCTGAAGCTTGGTATGGCATTACTCCCTTATACACCTTCTAAACTTTAAGCTTTTTTATTCTTTTTGTGAGTTATCATCGTGCTAAAGTAGAACTGCATGCCTTCTTATTCATTTCCACGAGTTTGCAACTTCTATTTCTATTGTAATAATGAAGTGCATGTCGAGAGATAGATCATTTTGACGAATTTTGGTAAACACTTAATAATTCATGGCATGAGCCTGAAATTAAAGAAGTGCATGGCTATCAGTCGAGCCAGTGCATTGGAGATATCTGTCTCCAACCTTTTTAGTATTTCAAGTGTTACATTAGTCCTCTTTAGCTTTAGCATTTTAATTGTTACATTGGTTGTTTCCTTTCTCCATATTTTCTCCATTTTCATTAGCTTAGTGATGTAGCATCTTGCATTATTTATGATATTCAATGCCTCTGGTGTAGTTTCACCCAGTTGACTTTTGTCTGGCTATGGGGTTTTAATTAGCAGCCCATGTGCAGAATTTCCCTACGGGATAGAACTAATTTAAGTCTCATCTTAGAATGAATTTTCAAAATAATTAATCAAATTGCGCAAGGAAGTTGGTTTAATGGATAATCATATGTATGATCAGTAGTTGGCAAGCAAGAAAAGTGATGAAAACTCCTGAACTAACCCCACATAGATGGCTTATTTCTTGAGACTGCAAGATATAAAAGATGCAAAATCGAGTAAAAGACTGAATTTATCGAGCTAATGTCAGTTTGATCCACATTCTCATAATTACAGCTGACATAAATAGGGACACCAATTAATTATGTATGACAAAGGAACTCATGTTTTTGGAACTTTAGGTGGCTCAAAAATATTTGGAAAGGAGAACATATATTCCACAAGTTGTTGTTATGTTCATCCTACGAAGACAATAATCACTATTCTCCATGTATGGCCCTGAATGGTCTCATTTTAAAACTATAAGGGCATGTTTGGTTCGTATGAAAATATTTCGTGGGAAATATTTTCACATGCAAAAATCCCCTCATGTGGTTAGGTGTGGGAATATTTTCACACCAATTAGTTGCTAACTGGTGAGAAAAGATGCTCTGGGGCCAATTGGTGTAAAAATATTCTCACACCTAACTATATGAGGACTTCTTTCAAGTGAAAATATTTCTGGGGAATTATTTTCAATCGAAATAAATGTGCCCTAAGAGACGTCTACAAGGCCTCACTTTTATCCCTTGCCTAGTTCCTCTTGAATGCCTCAAAAATTTAGAAGCTTCACTTTGATTATGTGAGAATTTTTTTATATTCTATATATGTGATTTTTGCATACCTGAAAAAATGGTAGTTTAAGATGCATATGCTAAGTCGAATCCCAGCGAACCTACCAAAGAAAAAATGTTAATAGTCTTAGCTTCAAATAATACATTAGAATGCAAGAATTATCAAGTTGCTTTTAGAACTTCAATTATTGCAATATGTTGTCTCTGCCTCTTGTGTGGGTTTGCGCTTCCTTTAAAATGATAGTGTTATCGTCTTGGCATGATATTCTTATTTTAGTAAGCAATGAACATTGCATCCAAGATAATCAATTAAAATTGTTGGAAAAGTGTAACAATTCCTCCAAAGACAGCTCATTCTAACCACTCAAACGCTAACAAGTTGCACTAGAAAATTACAAACAATAACTATTGAATGGAAAACAGTTAAGAGCTCCAAGATCTCCTGGAAACCATCTGCTAACCTCCATGGAAACTTAGCTCCATGCTCATCTTGTAATACCTGTAATAAGGGTGAGGGCTAGTGAGTTGAGAAGATCGTCACTTCGTCTGATGAGGTTGAAGATGAGCTTCAATGGTGGTAGAGTTTGTTACCCATAAGGGATTCATGTACAGCTGGATGGTAGGTTATTACTCACCTCCAACAATACTTTTACCCTGCGTCAAGCATTTTCACACATTGGCTTTTAGTATTTAAGTCTTGCATACCAGACCCTCTCTAGATCTCTCAATGGTGGAGGGTCGAAGGCAACGGCCCCTGAATGAGTCTAACCACCTTGAAGTGAGGAAAATGCACTCCATCCCCAACATCCTACTAAATGACTACTACCAAACTGGTATAAGCAACGAGGTCGGGAATTTTTTTAGTCTCTTCTGTCTCTGAAAAGAACACAAAAGCTAAGAAACTGCACCTTGTTTTGATAACTATCAGTCATCAAGACTTTGTACTTCACTCTTATATGGAATACGAAGTTGGACCTTTCAAAACATGTCCAAAGAAAAATCCCTACCCTCCTTGCAATGCTTCATAGGACCTGACCGCAAGGTCCCTTGATTCTTTCATCATCTAGAGTAACCCATTATTGTTGGGGGAAATTGGGAGGTATACAGGATCTGATAGCTCCAATTTCTCCACGACGTCATTTCCTTCCTGATTTGTTATATTACCAAAGAGTTCGGTATAAAACCTTGACAACCCCCAACCTCTAAGTACCCCCTAAAGTAACACCCTTTTGCTCTACTACAATGTTAACAAACTAGGGAACCGTCATCTAGCATGTCATTTATTCACACTTGAAATTAATGCTCTGCTCATCCTTGGTCGATGATGATGCCTAATTAATAGCCCTAGATTCGTTACAGTATAGATCCTTATCATCCTTTGATATCTCCTGATAAATTGTGCTGGATGGCTGCTTCTACCTTAGAGCATATTCTCTTTAGTTACATTGTGTAAAGTCTTCATTCCAATTTTGTTATGGGTTCATTGAATTGTTAATAGTTAGGGATGGGAATGGTAGGTCAAGGTCGACCTGGGCGTAGATAATCCTAGTCCAATTGGGTTTGCTTGGCCTAAACCTAGTTTGGTTAAGTTCTGAGACCCGGGTTCAGCCTAACCCAACTTTGTCTTTCTTTTGGTTTTTTTCATGTTGTCAATACATTTTATATGATAGTTGTCATAATTATTACACAACCCAAGTGGTGACTGAATTGATAACAATATTGACAATTCTGGCACTTTATCTATATTCAAATCCCTCAACTAGCATACTTACCAAAATTATTTTGTAATGCAGAATGGAGTAAAATTCCCTTTATGTTTAAACTTTAAATGTTAATGAGCGTCTTGGTTTTTCTATTACTACCTAATGCCCCGGACAATCCTTCAAATAGTCAAGACAGTTTCATGGGCCTTTTGACCCAATCAATCCATCGTTTGACGACCCCCTTTATGATGATCAACATCCCAAGGGGGCGTAAGGAGATCTAGGAGTGGAAGGTCGACTTTTTTGAAGGAGTTTATTTTTGGTTTGTTGTTTATTTTTACAATTTCTTAGTGACTTCCAGTATTTTAATTAGAGTTAGGGGCAATTTAGGGACCTTTTATATTTTAACTTGAGCGAAGGATATATGGGCATTTTTATAATATTTTAACTTAAGTGGGGTAGTTCTGTTTTTTTTTTTTTAATATTATATTGTAATAAAAGGGCATAGGATGTTACTATAACACTTTTGAACAGTAAAAACATGGTGTGAATAGCAACACCAGGCCCTATCTAGGGTTTTGGGGTCTCTTTTCGTGCAAGGAAAGCCAAGTTCACTCAAATCTGGGCTATTTTGATGGTTTATTGAACTTTTTTAGTTTTTTTTCTCTATTTTCCTGGATCAACTGATATTAGAGCCTAGGTTTTCTTCAGCAACAAAGCTAGGAATCTATGGTCAAGCCTAGGGTTTGCTAAATTTAGGCTAAGTTTTGCCAAATTAGCCTTGAACTTTTTGGTTTCAGCTAGGTTTTATTGGTTTTCTGCTGAGGGTTTGTGATTTTGTTGAACCTATGGCAACAGGAAGAGGCCGAGGCAGGGGTATTCCTATGGATCCACCTCGTGTTGAGATGGCTCAGGAGATAGAGGATCTACGTCTATGAGTTCAAGTACACACAAGGCGGCTTGCAAGTATCAATTGTAGGTGAGATGAAGTTTTGTCTGTCCAAGACGATGTTGAGTACAACCCTTTTCACGATCATGGTCTATGGGATGAGTTGAGTGAAGAGGAATATGATTGAAGGTATTGGCGGCACTCAAAATCCACAGATCTAAAAGTTGATATTCTTAATTGTGAAGGAAAGTCTCAGCCTAAAGGCTTTATAGACTGGTTATTATCCAGTAGATAAGGTCTTTGATTACAAGGATGTGCCAAAGAATAAAAATGTTAAAAATTATTGCCATTAAATTGAAGAACAATGCCTTTGTATGTTGGGAACAATTGAGAGCAAGGCGAGAAAGAATTAGAAAACCTAAACATTGTGTCGTGGGAGAAAATGAGGAAAAATAAAAATATCTCCCTGAAAATTATTTATAGTTTTTCTATCAAAATATGCATGTTTTGTGCCAAGGAGATAGGTCAATGGATTAATACAAATGAGTTTCACCTTTTGACTGCCGATAGTGATGTGCTGAGCGGGAGGAGCAGCCCATTATCGGGTATGTGAATGAACTATGCCAATCAATTCAAGATGTGGTATTTTTGCATTGGTATTGGACCCTTGATGAGGTCTATAACCTTGCAAAGAGGGTTGAAACTCATCAGAAATGACCCTCAAACAGGTTGGATGCGGGTGCGAGGGACAGGGAATAGGGCAACTGCCTGTGGTGGTGATTTTGGAAGAAAATGCAGCAGGTGCTGGTTCAACATCTCGTACTGCTTGAACAACCAACTAAGCAAGGTGCCCTAGACCAAAAAAAGGTTGTTTCGAGAGTCGAGTGACCCAAAAGGGGTGTCGATGTAATATCAAGCACTACAAGTATTTGGGCATCAGGCATGTCTTATCATAGTGCGCAAATCGCATATTCGTTAACCTTTCTAAGGAGTTTTACAATAAGGGCAACGAACACTTTTTTAGGTGTGATACCATCTACAATGAGCCGATTGATGAAGAGGATCATGAAGTGACCTATAGTGATCATGGGGAGGCTTTAGTGATTCAGTGCAACATGATTACACCCCCAATAGTAGATGATGAATTGGAAATGGAATTTCTTTCCCAAATCCTTCATGATCTGTGTGATCTCATAGGTGATCTAATATGTGACAAGGAACCTATTGATGGAGATGATGATTGTCTCTTTAATAGTGATACCATCTTTGATGAGGATCCTATCTTTAATGATGATTTTATGATGATATTATCTATGGAGAGCAGGAAGGTAAAGGCAAGAAGGATCAAGGAGATGATGGTGGTAGTAAGGATTTTGTTTCTTTTGATATCTTACCCGAATACAGGGTACAATGCGAGGCATGCCCCAAGGTTTGGTGATATTTTCCTATGAGTTTTTTGCTAGTGAGTTCAATATAAGAGGTACCTATTAAGTGGTTGATTAAGTGATTCCTAATGTTGGAGTTCAGCTTTAGGCCTTTAGCCATTGTTTTGTATTGAGTGGAGAATCTCTGTATCCAATCAGTATGTGCATGCTAAAGGAAATCACAGGGTAACACAATTAATCTTGAGCCACTTCATAGTTTGTGGTAAAGTATTCTTTGATGTGTTTAGGACGAGTATGTTGCTTATGTACTACAAATATAACAGTTATGGGCCCAAAACATGGGTGATCCAAAGTCTCTGGGGGGGAAGGGGGGGGGGCAGTAACATGGCACACCTTGATTCCAAGTCTGGTTAATGTGGGAGATTTGGTTATGGTTTATCTACGCAAAGTTAGGCATCCTATGGGCAAATACAACAAGTTGAATAACAGGAAGATCATACTATTTTGGGTGTTGAAGAAGATGGTAATGCCTATGAGATCGATCTTCGAGCTGAGATTTATAAGCGCCCCATTTTGAAATTGGTTACTCTTTCCTGAAGTCTTGAACCATAGGGACCACAACAACCTAGTAGACCCTACTCATCTTTTTAGATATAAAACCCAAATTTTAGACTTACTCGAGCCCTAAGTTAGTCATCCTAGGTATCCATGAGCCTAATAAACATTGGAAACCAATCTGACACTTTGAAACCTAAAACCGACACCCAAAAAATCCTAGCCTTATGGACCCATTAAAGGTCACCCAAATTGGGCGAAATTTAATTTAAATTTGTAGAGGAGATCATAGGTTTTCCAATGATTCAAGAATCACCTTAATCCAAACTTACAGTTTGAAAGATATCGCCTGAACAAGTTTGTTTGGTAGAAATTCCATTCAGGTTCAGATGCTAGGGAGTGTAGCGTTTATGCCAAACAACCTAAACGACATGGGGTGCAGCTTCTGAACTAGAACTACCCAAAACACTGTGGGGTGCATCGTCCATTGACTTGGACCTAATTTGACTGCAATTTTGAGATACATACAATGGATAAATTTTTAAAACGTGTTTAAACTGATTTTTGAAGCCTATAAAAAAGGTCTAAACCGTGTCATTCAAGAACAAGAAGCCTCCCTTAGTTTTTTAAACCCTAATTCCAAAAAACTTTAGTTTTTTATACCCTTAGTTTTTTAAACCCTAATTCCAAAACCTTAGTTTTTTAAACCTTAGTTTTTTAAACCCTAGTTTTTTAAACCCTAATTTCAAAACCTTAGTTTTTAAACCCTTAGTTTTTTAAACCCTAAACCTAGACATCCAAGCTTTCAAAACCACACTTTGGTCAATTTCAGCATCCTAAAAGATCAATTTCAGTTATATTCAGTGATAAAAGAGAAGGCCATGGTGTAAATGACCTACGGTCCTGATACGGGTGCTAACTTCGGGTGTTGGAGTGTGCCGGGCCGATCGGTTTGGCTAGGCAAGTTTTTATTTTCTTTTATTTTTCCAGTTAATTTAGTTTTAATTGCATTTACTTTTAGTTTTATCATTTTCTGATAGGATTTTGTGTGATCATAAGCCAGATCTTTTAGTGGTTCTTAAGGAACCCCGATCTCTCCAAATATGGTTTCTTGTTGAATTGTAATTTGACGAACCCCACAATTTTTAACAATCTTTTATTTAACTAATTTAAAGCATAAATTCAGTGAGGTTTCATCAAAGATCTCGTCATATTTGGCTGTAAACAAGAATGTGTTCAATATTGCTGATCTTTTTGAGTTCCACGGATCCAAATTATCATTAGAAGAAGAGCCGAGCTCGAGGTCGAGTTTTTCCCAACGATGGAGAATGATGTATTGGACAATCCTTCAACTAGACAAGATAGTTCTCATGGACATTTGACCCAATCTAAGCATCCTTTGAAGACCACCTTTATAACGATCCACATCCCCAGGTCGCAAGGAGATCCAGGAGTGCAAGGCCGACTTTTTGAAGGAGTTTAGTTTTAGTTATTTGCTTTTTTTTACAGTTTCTTAGTGATTTTTAGTCTTTTAATTAAATTTAGGGGCAATTTAGGGAACTTTTATGTGTTTATTTGAGTGAAGGGACTTATGGGGTATTTTTATAATATTTTACGGTGGTAGTTTTGGTCTTTTTTTATATTACAACCTAATAAAAGGGCCTGTGGTGTGAGGGTTTTTAACACTTTTGAGACGTAAACAATGAAAACATGGTGTGAAGAGTAACTCCAGGCCCTATCTAGAGTTTTGGGGTCTCTTTTTTGTGCAATGAAAGCTATGCCCACTCAAATCTGGGATGTTTTGATGGTTCATTGAACTATTTTAGCTTATTTTCTCTATTTTCTTGCATCAATGCCCAACTAGGGTTTGGTCTGGGCTTGGTCCATTATAGAGCTAGGGTTCCTTGGCTTGGCTCGACCTGTTGGGACAGGAACCCCCTTCTTAGTTGGGCCTCACCCTACACGCTAGCCTTGCCTATTTCCACCCCTGTAACAATTCCATGTTTCGGCATCAGTTACTCTTTTTAAGAACTAAAATAATATAATATCTGCATTGTAAAATGGTAATTGGGAATTGATCTTTCCGTTTTCTCTAGTTTGAACTAGTTCTTTGGATTTAGTTATTATTTACTTATTTCAACATAATAGCTGATATTACTTCAATCCATTTATTTCTTGCAGGTTTGTTTATTCATTTATTGTGGTCGGAGTGATCCTGTGTGTTATATCTTGTTTTGGCTGTATTGGAGCGTTTACCCGACATGGTTGCTGCCTCTCTTGTGTATCCTGATTCCGATCAACATCTGCTTGGTGAAGTTTACTGGAGTGCTTCTGGAACTTTTTCTTTTCAAATCGCAAATTAAGATGCAAATATTCGTATCATATATAAAAGATAATATGTAGTGATTTTTAAGAAATTCTTTAAAATATTTCAAAAACCTTCATAGACTTAATAGGCAAATTTCTCTAAATTTCCTGAAGACTTCCTTATGATAATATGCTATTTCTCCCTTGGAAATGTTGTTCCTTGTTAGAAGCAGGAGAGACACTGATGCCTTAATCTTTTGAAATCAATGAAAATGCTCGAGTGAAATATCCCGTGGTTTTAACTTCTAAAGAAAAGTATCTTCTACCTTTTCTCCTAGTATTATTTATACCCTTAATGCTAAAAAATATTAGATGGCTATTATGTGTATTTAAGAAATATTTAGTTTAGGAAGATTGTCCTTACATGATCTGGATATTCCTGCCTTTTACTTAAGCCTATAATTAGTTTGTTTCTCACATTGAGTCATTTGTGGAGAGTATTTCCTTAAAATATCAGTACTCTGTACTTCTGATTTTACTGATCATAGTGGAGTTGGGCCTTGCGGGATTCATATTCTTTGATCATAGCTGGAAAGAGGCAAGTTTGACTTCACAAAACAGGGTTGTTCTTGGATTTTTTTTTTTCTTTTCATATTCTTTTTTCTTATTGTTGACTTTTCTGTTATGCAGACAATTCCAACTGACAAAACTGGTGATTTTGATATGATATACAATTTCTTGAAGAAACATTGGAATATCGCAAAATGGGTTGCTCTTGGAGCCGTTATTTTGGAGGTAGGTAACCATTCTTTGCTAGCCATGAATCATGGAGTGCGACAACTACAAATGGTTTATGACTTGAATGAAGAAATCATATGACAATATCTCAATATTATAATTTTTTTTTGAAAATTTGGCATTTGCATTCTCTTGAGAAATTATCAATAATATTTCTGAATAAATTACATTTTGCTGGTTGAAGTTATGAAGACAAATTTCAATCAAGAAAATGACATATTCTTGAGATCATAAGGTGGCAGCTTCTTGTAAATTTCTACACAAGCATGTGAAAATCCTATTCTCGGTTGTGTTGCTTTTATTATCTCAGATTGACCATTCCCAAACTGGACTTTTGATGCTATGATTACTTTTTGGTGTCCCAAAAGAACAACGATAACTCAAGCTAGACACTCATTCTCAATCTACAAGTTATAGTCATCTTTTTTGGCATGAAATGACCAATAGAAACTAAAGTGGTGGTCCATGTTCTCTACCTAATTCTTTAAGTATGCATTGTATCGATCCAACAGAGAGATTGCAACTCCAAGACATTGGAATTAATGCAATATGAATAATGTAAACATGCATGTATGGCATGTCAGTCAATGAATGGCATTGAGACATGTATTATTTCCCACTTTGCCTCTCAGTTCTCTCTTGATTCCAAAGATGTTAGAATCTCAATTCCATAAATGAAAGAATATTGACTCCATATTGGTCAATTCCAACTAGGTTGGAAACTCGATTACAAAGAGCTAGGAATCTCGATTCCATCTATGTAGGGATCTCGATTCTATTTTGGTCGAATCTCAATTCCTGAAAATGGGAATCTTGTCCCCCATGGTTCCTCTTGTATGGACATCGATTCTAAAAACAAGAATCTTCTAGCTAACGGCGATTCCGCACTTCCAATTCCTATATCAATTTGGTTTCCGAATTGCTTTGGGTAACACTATGTTTTGGATTCCCCAAGGGTGACAATATACTAAAAATTGCCTGCAAAAAAGGGAATTCTATAACAAACTATGTAAAAATAATTCAATCATCACTGTACATCCATGATAATGGTGATGAACCATTAGTCCAAAACTTTTTCATATCTATACACATATTGGTGAGGGTTGTATAAGGTGTCAACCTTATACTATTGAAGTAAGTTGCAGCTCAAAACTGTGCCGAAAGATGTAGTTTCAGTATTGGAAAGCCTTGCGATTGTATGAAAATATATTATTACCCCTAATTATGAAGTTTAAAGTTACAAAAATGATGTAAATCAAGCATATCTATAAACATTTAAAAACTTTTGAAAATGGAAGGTCCAGAAAATTGATTACAAGTTGTACTATGTTCACAACTTTAAATCTTTTTTTTTTTTCCATCATATCCAGACATAATTAAAAAAGCGGACCGCTCAGCGCCTAGGCGGTCTAGAAGGCCTGGGCGCATCGCCTAGGCCTAGGCGGCCAATCTGGGCGACAGTCCTTGGGTGGCCTCCTAAGCGGGCGCCCAACTTAGGGCGGGCGTCCAGCTCAGGGCAGCCACCCAGGGCCTGCGCCCTGCCCAGAGGCGGAGAATTTTTTTTGTATTGATTTTTTTTAAAAATATAAAGGGTTAGAATGATGGTTTTCAGTTATTTGAAACCTAAAACTTATTGGAGCCTATGTTAGAGAGAGAGCCTCTAAAAAACTAGTTTTTGGTGATTTCTTTAGGTTCGAAGGGTTTATCAAAGTTGACAAAATTGATCAAAACATCACCCATTGATATTAGATTTAATTTTTTATGTTTTATAAATCTGTTGGAGGTTTTTTAGAAGATTTTGAGTCTTTAGAAGCATTATTGAGGTGGAAGTTAGAAGATTGAGCAATCAAACTCAAAGTAAGTACCCTAAATACCTAATTTTTATTTTTTATACTATATATCATTTTTTTATTCAAAGGGGCATTCTTTTTGGATCGACTGGGTCGCCCAGGTTCGGGGTGCCCGCCTAGGCGCTGGGTGGCCTGGACCCCAGGCCACCTAAGACCCGCCTAGTGCTTTTTGAAACACTGATCTTGTGGTTGAGATGATCAATTTGGGTGTTTTTTAGTATTTTTTTTTTAAAGGCTTGAGTGTTTTTAGTATTGAAACAACATTTTTCGATGGGTTTATTTCAATAGTATAAGGTTGAGAGCTTGAATAAATTTTTTCCTGTGTAAAATGATGAATAATCTTTTAAGATAGGATCTTATTTGATCTCGCTTTCTATCTCATGTCATTCTCACTTTCTATCTCATGTCATTCTCACTTTCTGCAAACCTAGAGAAAGTAAAATAAGGAAGTGTCTTGGGTTATAAGAGTATTAGAGAGTCATCCAATAATAAGAGGACTTCCCTAAAATTTCTCTCTCTTTAATTTGTCTAGCATGTGGCTTTATAAATTTTTGATACATCGCCCATAGACCAATAGGGCCAGTCCGTTGCCCTTGAGCTGGGGTTGGGACGGACCAGGGCCAACCTTGGCCCTGCTGAGCCCTTCTCCTTGCCAAGGTGTATTGTTTTAGACGGAAGAAAAAACTAAACTCTCAGATGTTAGTTCGGACAATCAAGCTAGGAACTAAGGGTCCATGATGTTGTGGTTGCTAACTAGCGGTGGGTTCTGGGGCATCAAAGTTGACAACTTGATTCTGGTATTGATACTACTCATTTTTATTGTGTTTCTCTAAATCTTGACTCTTGTTTGCCGAATAAGATTGATCTCAATAAGATAGCTACTATTTTTAATTTTTTTTGACAATAATAAGATAGCTACTAATTGTTGAGTGGTTTGTTTGCAGGCCTTGACATTCTTGTTAGCTCTGGTGGTAAGGGCAACAAACTGGCCACAGGGAGAGTATGACAGTGACGATGAGTACATTGCAGCCCCTAGAACAGGAATTTGGCAGCCATTGATTGGTAGTAATCGACAGGCTGGTGCTCAAGTCACTGGGGTCCCTGTTAGTGGTGCCTCCGATCAGCGTCTCAGCAGGAACGATGCTTGGAGCACACGACTGCGAGAAAAGGTACAGTCCATCTCCCTATCCCTTTAATCAAATTTTGCATATATGAACCCTATTTAGCTTTAGCTGATAGTGCAGTGGCTGGCTGTTTTGGGGTGAGATGTTTGAAGCCTTTGTGTTCGAGGACAAGTTTATTATCCATTAGTGTACAGGAACTCGGCTGAGCAATAAGGCGAGGCCGATTATCCTAGAGTTGTGTGCACAACTTGGGGATATTAAAAAACTTTAAAGAAATTCTAAAAAATATAAAAATATAGGATTGATCTATATCTATCATTTTTGTTGTGTATGAAAGAAATTGTAAAAAATAATTAAACTATAGGATCGGTCTATCATTTTTTTTGTGTATGATTTATATGTTTTTGGTAAAGATTGGTGTGTATTTTTTTGCATAAATCCTTATTTTTATGTCTTTAAAAAAAATCCTTATTTTTATGTTTTACCCTTTTTTGGATTTTTTAAAATGCCTCCAACTATAAATATTTTTTGTCCTTCTAAATTCATTTTTCCAATATGTTTTTTTTTTTTAAGCTGTTAATGTTTGTTTGTATTAAGAGAGAGTAGATAGAGTACCAAAAAATAGGCAGCCCATATCCTGGGTGATCTATACAAAGTCCCAAGGGTAATTTTTTTTTTCTAAATCCATTTTTCCAATACTTTTTAAGGTTGTTTTTATGTTACATTTTGATTTTAATATATTTTTCCTTTTTTAAAAAAAGATTTGTTAATTTTTTTTTTTTTTTAATTTATTGAGAGCTTTTGAGCCCTGTGCATGACACAAACTTTTTTTTTCTAAAATCTGACTATTTGTTAGTGCGAATAAAGATCCCCACTGTTTGTCCATCTAAATTGATCTTTATTCTTGGGTGTGCCGTTTGTTTTGCTTTTGCAGTATGGGCTTGACACATCGGAGTTTACGTACAACCCGACGGATTCCAGCAGGTTCCAGCAACAAGCAGCACCAGTTGCTGAGGAAAGGAGCCGATGTAGCATCCTGTAATCACAGAGAGTGAGGAAAGGAGCCCATGTAGCATAATGTAATCACAGAGAGAAAGAGTATTTGGTGTATTTGGTGTGCGGCTTGAGCTGTCTTTCAAGATTTTCAGAAAGAGTTGTTTGTGCAGTGGATATATGCTACTTAATCTTATGGAGAACCTTAATTCTTGGTTGCCATTTCTTCTCTCTATGTTATTGTGATCCCCTTCCTGGTCTTCTAGTTTGCATCTCTCTCTCTTACTCCTTGATATTGGGTTTTTCATTTCTCATAAATCATGCACATGTGTTGAGCAGTATCACAAGGCATGCTACCCTTGCGTTCCATGAGCATACCCTACAATGCACTAAGGTTTATAGCCGGTGCCTATCCTTTCCTTTCTTATTTACGTGGAAAACCTCGCTGGATGTCAAATTTCTCCCTCCTCCAACACATAGAAAGATGCACCCACATGAACCAGCTCAGACTCATCCACGCGAAAATGATCCGAAACCACGAAATCGAAGATGTCCTCAAAGTGAGCAGAGTCATAGCCTTTTGCGCCCTCTCAAACTATGGCAGCCTCGACTATGCCCGCCGCATTTTTGCTCTCATCAAATCCCCAAACATTTACATATGGAACACCATCATCAGAGGCTATGTTCAGAGTTCCAACCCATCTGAAGCTTTCGCTCTCTACAAAAAGCTCTTGTCCAAGGGTCTCATCCCCAACAACTACACATTCCCCTTCCTCTTGAAGGCCTGCACCCAACTCGTGTACCTCAACATAGGATCAAGCATCCATGCGAGCACCATCAAATACGGCTTCGAGGACTCAGATGCTTTTATACAAACTGCACTTGTGCATCTCTATGCGTCTTGTGGCTTTATAGATTTGGCACGAAAAATGTTTGATAGATGTGATGAAAGAGATGTGACCTCTTGGAATGCTTTGATGAAAGGCTATGTACACAGTGGGAGGCATCGTGAGGCCATTTCACTCTTTCAAACCATGCTGCGGAGAGCCTCATGGGTGAAGCCTGATGAGGTCACGATGCTCGCTGTGCTTACGGCTTGTGGCCACTCAGGTGCATTGGATCGAGGAAGTTGGGTTCATCGATATATGGAAGCCAACAAATTGAAGAGGACCATTAGACTTGAGACTGCTCTTGTGGACATGTATGCCAAGTGTGGAAGCATTGAAACCGCACGTCGTTTGTTTGATGCAACAGTGGAAAGGGATGGGCATTTGTGGAGCGTGATGATCGGAGGGCTGGCCATGCATGGGATGGCCAAAGAGGCACTCTCTCTCTTCTCTGAGATGCAGAGGGTGGGGGGTGTGGTTCCTGACTCTGTGACCTTCACCAGTGTTCTGTCAGCATGTAGCCATGCAGGGCTTGTGCAAGTGGGTCTTCACCATCTCGAGATCATGAAGGACTATGGAATTGAGTCCACAATCGAACACTATGGTTGCGTTGTTGATCTCTTTGGACGCGCAGGTCTTTTGCAAGAGGCAATGGAGTTCGTCAAGAAAATGCCGGTAAAGCCTGATGTTGCCTTGTGGGGCTCCGTTCTTTTGGCCTGTAATGCCCATGGGAATGTGAAGATAGGAGAAGTTGCGGCAAAGGAGATGCTGGGTTTAGATCCTCTTAATGGAGGGGCTCATGTTTTCTTATCCAACATTTATGCTTCTACAAGATCATGGGATGAGGTTATCAGAGTTAGAAACCAAATGAAAGATCATGGAATAACGAAACCACCAGGATGCAGCCTAATTGAGGTGGATGGATTTGTTCATGAGTTTCTTGTCGGCGATCGATCTCATCCCGAGGCTGAAAGCATATACAAAATGCTGGATGAGATCGATAAGCTTCTAAAGAGAGAGGTTTATGGACCCACGAGCAAGGGGACATTTTTTGATGTGGATGAGGAGGAAAGTGAGCACAATAGTGACTAGTCATACTGGGAAGCCGGCAATTGCATTTGGTTTGATCAAATTGAGACCTGGGTCTTTCATCCGGGTAGTGAAAAACCTTCGAGTTTGTGGCGATTGCCACACCGCCACCACGCTGATCTCGAAGATTTTTGCTTGGGATATAATTGTGAGGGATCGCAAGCGCTTCCATCATTTTAAGGATGGGGCTTGCTCCTGTAAGGATTACTGGTGAGAGTAGCTAATTCGTTTTCTATTACTGCCACTGGTGAGATCTTATATTATGTTTGTGGAGAGAGAGGGAGGGAAGACGGTGGGAGCATAATTTACATTGTTATTAGGCTGAGAATGGGTCGGATTGGGTCCGGATCTAGATTTGGATATGAAAAGTATATATTCCGGATCCGATCGGATCTAAAAAAATTATTTTATATCTATAAAATAATATATAATATTTTGATAATTGGGTCGGATCCGGATATGATCTATCTGTACCTGGATTCAATCCAAATGACTATTCAGATAAGATCCATACCCAAATCCAGATAAGATTCGAAATTCGAGTTTTGGATCCAAACTGAGTAAAATCTCAACCCTAATTGATACGTAAAGGACATAATTTGCATTGTTTTATATATAAAGAGAGAGAATTTTTTTTTTTTGAAAAAAGACGATATTCATTAAGATGATGAAGACAGAAAGGCAAAAATAAATAAAAGAAGCAACAAACGAAAACCAAAACCACACATGAAGGGAAAGTCAGCACGAAGCGCTGAAAACAACGTCCGAGACAATGTGCATTAGCATAATTTGCCTTGCTAAATAAACAGTGCATAATTTGCATTGCTAGAGAGAGAGAGAGAGAGAGAGAGAGAGAGAGAGAGAGAGTATATTAGTTGACTAGTGTCGTGACGTAGTAGGTATTAGTTAGGTAGTAACGTACCTACCTACTTAGTTTACGTTTACGTAAGTAATAGTCGGGA